AAATTATATAATAATGCTATAAACATCTTTGAGTCATAATTTGATTTTGTGCATAATCATGGAATTAATAGCTATGTGGCTATTTTGATGTTTACGACAAGAGCAGCTTTATCACAAATCAGTCTTTTCATTTTGTACTTAAATGTAGACGTTAAAATTGAGAAAAATGGTTTTATCACAGAATAGTAAAATAAGTTTAAAGTTACTTCAATGTTTTTGACCCATCTCAGTAAACATGAGACTGTTTAACTGTTTTCTGGCTTCCTGTTAGCTGTTCATTAAATGTTGTTCTGCAGTGTGTAATTATGGGACTTGAGCTATGCAGTACATGCAGATTAGAACTGGTTGTAACTTTACTCTGGGTGTGAAGATCTTCAGGATAAATGTGCCTTTCTACCCTGCAGGTTGATCTCGTCGGCTCTGAGAAACTCAATAACTCTATGGGCTTCTCCATGTTCTTTGTGGGCTTGGGCTGCCTCACGGGGCCTCCTTTGGCAGGTGAGTGGATGGCTTCTTGGAAATCCTTCCAAGAGTTATGCATGTGTGGACTCATTTCTCCCAAATGTACACAAACATGTCCATGAGTTCTGCATGTGTGTTGGATGAAAGCCACAACAGTATTTCTCTTCCAAATGATACGTTGCACGGAGTTTGTGCGTGTTTCAGTGTGAGAGATGGTTCAGAGGGCTGAAGACAGGAAGCGTGTGTGGTGAGAAGAAGTGGTGCGTTAGGGAGGTGATTGACAGGTTGACGGCCCCCCTGCTTCATATTTTCACTCAGCCCTGAATTCCTGGAAGTACCTTAAAGTGTACGAACATGAAAACTCAAAACATACAGTAGAAAAACCAGCAGTGCTGGTCTCAGTGCATTACTGGAAATCTGGATTTGCTCTGAGGAGCCTGCACACAGGGGTTACTGGGTCAGAGCCTCAGAATAACAGGACCGTTTTCGTGGAAGGCCCGAGTCACTTTATTTAACTGATTGCAGCTTGCCTTTTGTAGTCTTAGAGAGCTGCTTCTAATCTGGGATCAGTTTTTTGTTACACAAGTTTTGCATCTCTGTCTCAGTGTGTGTCTAATGGCTTAAAGTCGTCTCCAGGTCAACTAAAAAAAGATAACAGTACACCTGATCTGCTGAAACCTTCCTTAATATGTGGAACACTCAACTCAGTTACATATCTTCTTGTGATTAACACACAAACTAAGCCATGCTTTTTATTTTTTTTCATTCACTAGGTCAGAGGTCTGAAAGCTTTACATCACAGCTTTACCACCAAATAAAGTTTGCCTAGAGCCACAGAATGTACTTGAGCCATGAAACACAATTGATTATTTTTTATCTATATACAAAAGCTACAGTTTAGGTTGCATTATATTGTATGCATGACTTTGTAAGTGATAGGACAAAAACATTTTCTTTTACTTACATACTTACAGTATATTACCAAATATGACACTATAAAAAAAGAGTAGCCCAGTTATAAGTAAATAAAGCATTAGGCTGCAGTCCAACGCGTTAAAAAGAATGAACATACTGTAAAAAGTGAGCTCAGTTTCTTGGTTTGTTTCGGAAATATGATGTTTATTTAAAAAGAAGACCTCAGCTTCTATTTATTTCAACTTCTTGGGTAAGTGGCTCTTATTGGAGGCGTGCCTTTATTTTTATTTTGCGCAATGTTCAGACAAACTATCTGTTTCTACAGACGTACATTTTGATGCCAATAAAGATGTATGTCAGTCTTTAAGCAAAGGTTAATCTTAAGCAAAAAACAGGGCAGAAAAACTACTAAAAAACACTTCCTATTAACAGTTTAAAACAGGCTATAAATATTACAGAGGTTCAGGTCCCACAGGTTGCAGATACCTGATCCAGGTATTTGTAGGAAAGTAACTTTTAAACCCTAATTGTTAACATTTGGTTTTAGTTAAAGTCATTTAAGCTTTGGCATATTGGTTCTGTGTTCAGGAATCTCCTCAGAGAAGCACCTGGATCACAGGGAGTGAAATATGTTGAAGGGTCTCTTTAGGGTGGTACAGAAATAACTTTAAACTCTGTTTACAATGTCCTCCACTCCAAAAAGAAACCTCCATTTGGCTGCAGGTGATTGACAATATTTAACCTGTTTTCTTCTCCTGAAAGAGTATCCTTCTGAAGTTGTCGTCTCATTCTTTTTAATCAATGACGATAACGAACATAATATGTTACTAAAGGTTAGATAAGTAGGTGAGGGGTGAAGAACTGGGTCTGTTAGCAGGTTTAATTACCTAAAGCTCACCTTATGCAGCTCAAAGGAAGGGCTGGACTGAAAAAGTTGAACTATATTAACCTACATTTTCGCAAAACATCTTGGCAATAAATAGACATTATTGAACATTTCTTGGTGGCCAAAAGCTATTTTTAGAATCTGATTGGTGCCAAACTTGTGCAACCAAATATTACTCAACATCTTTCAAAGTGTTTTGGAGAACTTAATTCTGTTTGGTATTTCAGCGTTTTAACTGTATTGATTTTTTTCTGTCTTTACTCTCTTTATTGTATTGGGCTAAATCATGGTGTGGTAGTGTCTGAGAATCATTTACAACAAATACACTGAGCAGGGCCGGCCCTAGCCAATATGGAGCCCTAGGCAAGATTTCAGGTGGCACCCCTTGTGCAGTTACCTAAATCTCACTTCCAATTTACATCCATTCATATACCAAATAAAAAAAGTTTTGTCTTTGATATTATTTGTCATCTTTAGAAACCAGGTTGTCTAATTAAAATAGTTAACAATAAAATTAATTTAAAACAGAATACCAGAAGTCAACCTCATATCTGACAACATTTGCTGACAGCAATGAGAAACACCTGTTCATGTTAACGAGCAGCTGTGGGGGGAAACAGTTCTAGGGGGGTCCAGAAGTATACTACCCTAGAAAATTTTTGAAAGATCTACTCAGAACTCTGCATTTTCCAACAGTTTGCAGAGCATTTTACTAAATTCTTGCGATTGATTAAACAACATAAAATATTTAGTATTTTATGATGGTAGAACACTGAAAACTAGACTTTAACCTGAGATCATGACTGAAACTTCCATTATCCTTATTTTGTTTTCTATTTACACATAGAGCACCAGTAATTAGTCTGACAACATCTTGTACTTTTATCATGAAATATCATTCATCTGCAACGTATAATGCCTCATAGTGACAAAGCACGACATGTTACCTTCATAAACCACAGTGACCAGTGATTATTCTACGGAACAAATCTACCATACGCTGATAAAAAGTTATATATGGTGCCCCCTACATAGATGGCACACTTAGATTTGCCTGTATTGCCTATGCCACAGACCGGCCCTGGCTCTAAGTGCTCATGGTCACATGAGATGAAAAATAGTCAGCAGATTATAAACATTTCTTCAGGAAATATTAGGCCTTTTTATTCTAGTGCATAATTTTTCTTACATGGGGCAACAGTGGTGACAAGAGGTAGGGGTTTGTCCTGTAACTGGTGGGTTGCTGGCTCAAATCCTTGCTTCATTAGACTCAATTGTTGTGTCTTTGGGCAAAACATTTCCCCCTCCTTGCCTGCTGGTGGTGGTCAGAGGACCTGGTGGCTCTAGTGCATGGCAGCCTCACCTGTCAGTGTGCCCCAGGGCAGCTGTGGCTACAGTGTAGCTTACCACCTTCAGTGTGTGAATATGTATGTGAGCGGGTGAAGTGTGAAGCGCTGTACAAGTTCAGGCCATTACCATTTACCACATCCATTTGTTGTAATATTCAAAGATAACCGGTTGACATTTTGTATACTTTTGTGTTTTTAAAAAGGTAATGAACAAATACAGTATAATCACACCTTTTGTTGATATGTAGCTCTTTGGATGACCTCAGTTTGGAGAAGGAGTTTGATTCTGATAAGATTCCAAGCTAAGCATGACCTCATGAACCACCATGAAACTTTGGAGATTTGCGTTGTTTTAAGAGGGCAGCAGTCCACTTTGATCTTGGTTCCTTTCAGTCTAGCCGTTGGGTCGTTACCCTTACCAGACTTAAACTCTCCTTTTCCAAAAACTAGGTCATTCAAAGATTTATCTACAACAGGTAAGATAATAATTGTTCATAATAATAAAATAAATTTCAGATTGCCGCGTCTCTCCCAGGTGAAGTTTAGCATACTCAGACACTGAACACGTTTCTGTTTCGTAGGGTTCCTGTATGACTACACGCAGACTTATGACTGCTCCTTCTACCTGGCGGGCCTCTGCTATCTACTGTCCTCCCTCTCTCTGTTCATGGAGCCGCTCGCTCAGCGCTGGCAGCTCAGGAGAAAACTGCCCCAGAACAAGAAGGCCGAGAGCAGCTGTAGGATTAACGGCTGCTTCACTCCTGACCACCTACAGAACGGTGCTGTGTAGGAATGAAATCTGGGGGTGGGGTGTTGATCTTGAGCTAACATGCTCATGATCGCAGGCCCTCAGACCTTGGACCCTGGACTCAAACCTGAAGTGGGGACCTTGGTCATTGTTTCAACAAGCAATACAGTGACACAAGATTGTGGTCTGAACGTTCAAATAAGCCAAAATACTTTGACTCTTTATTTTCTTATTGACATACAACTGAAGGTGTTCACTACAAAGGTAATTTATTGCAGGGAAAAAAACATCTCTGAGTAAGACAACAAAACTGCACCAACTCTGCGTTGTGTTTGAAGAATCGATAATGTGCGGTTGTTGTCAAAGTTTTATCTTCAGCCAGTTCTATGAGGACAATAACAGAAGGAGGGGGCGTGTCCTGAGGAGCCTTCAGCTGTGTGTGTGAACCTGTAAGCACTGTTGTGCATTTTGGGCCAAGTCACTGTTATGTTGGGTGACAGTTCCTCTGACCTTTAACTGGCAGGTAATCAAATTACTGAGCAAATATATCACTGCAGCCGGCTCCCATGTCACAATATGTCATCTTGTAAATGAAGCCAAAAAATCAGGTTTTCCCTGTAGTTTAACAGTAACTGGATTCTGTTGAATTGTTGAAGGCATGTCAACACTGAACTCTCTGATCTTTGAATATTTAGAGTTTTCTTAGCAATACTGTTTTATCCAGCAGAATCTCATCCAGGTTTAACGTTCAGAACCTTCAATTTCTGGCTCAGAATTTTGGAAAACCGTCATTATGGTTTTGATTTTGGTATTTCATGATCCAATTGAGATCAATTTTCTGTTCCTCTAAACCCCATCTTTCTTACTTGTTGCTATTTGCTCACTTTTTTTTCACCAACTTCAGATTTTATTTTTTAAAGTCCAGAAGTTATAATTGGCAACTTTTTTGCCCTTGAAGTTGAGCTCAGATATAAGCTGTTTACGACACCTCCACATACTCTGACTTGATGTTTTTACACTCACACGAGCCTTTCGTATATCCACTGCTGACATTCCTGCTTTCAGCTCTTATTTTTAAACCGACACTGAAACTCCCTCAACATATAGAAGTCAGCAAGAGCACCCGACACTTTCACCAGTTTTACTCCATAAATAGCGTTCGAGCCACAATAAACTCATCTGTCACCACTAGGGTTGGGCAATATTGACAAACATCACAATTAACTGTGACGTTTAGCCAAAAACAATTAATATGATGATTAATAGATGACAATTGCACTTGCATGTGGCTGATGCAGTTCTGGTTCATATTTTCTGGCTTTCCTTGTGGTTTATGTTGGTGTTTCAGGGGATTAAATAGGTTCGTTAGGGTTAGCATTAGCTGCTTCACGCCACCTTCCACTATTGGGCTCACAGGCCTGACAGTGATGGTGTTTTATATACAAAAATACATCATCACAAAGCACTAATTGCAAAGTGGCAAATATTAATTGACAGTTTTACTGATGATAAAGTGCACAGAATACGGTTTTGCCCAAACCTAGTCACTACTCATTGTTGTTTTTTATTCTTTGTAATGATTTTGCTGGAAATCCTTCGCACAAGTAAGAATACTTCATTTCGTGGGGAAATAGCAATAAAAGAAAAGAAAATGGAACAAATTAAAACCTCAGTTGTTGCTTTTTTAAAAGCCACAACTATAAACTTTTTCTCACCTTGTTGGTCACGGTGAAAATGCACATTAACACACGTGTAGATGTGACAATAGTAACACATAGCAGTTCTATGCAAGAGCACACCGACTCAGCATTTTCCTTAAAATCTGAATGTTGCAAACACACCAGCTCCTGAGAGAAGAAGCCAGTTCAGTCATTCCCTACATGTCTGAATTTCTCTCAGCCTGAGGAGTGATGGGGCCAATAAGCTCCACTCAACAGCAGGGTTTTCTGTGCGTTTTGTGTCTAATTTTTGCATCATTCTTTCAATTTTTTTGTATGTCAAAAAAAAAAAAACCTGACCAACTGTGTGTGATGATGAGCACGAAGGCCAATGGGACTGATTGAGAACTGTTGCCCAGACTTTTGCAGCGCTCAGCCAACTTAAAAGTTGCTGTTTATAAATGGGAGTATGTCAGTTCTTTTTTATGTTTTTATTTCATATTTTTGTGATTTTCAGTTTGCTCCTTTGGTTGTCACAGTTGCCTTATGGGTGATGTGTTTTTTTTACTAACTTTCTTGTGAACTCAGCCAAAGATGCATCAGAAACCTTCCTGCCACTTGAAGCCTCACTACATGACTTTGTGTTTTTATTTCTGCCCATTGTCATTTGACTAGCTGAAAAAATAAAACACTGATGTGTTTTATTATGCTGCCCTCTTGTGGACAAAGACGGCTCCTTCTCCAAGAATGCAGTTTCAATTAGCACCAAGTTATTCCCCCTCAGCTGGTTTTCACAATCCAGAGCAAGGCTCTTTGTATTGTTTTTCTGAAAAGTCATGCACAAAAGCTTTTTTTTTTTTTTTTTTGGCTCACGAGCTGCATTCACTACAAGTGGTGATTTGGGGCCATAGAAGCTTCTCCACTATGAACCTTTTGTAAAACAAACAAAAAAACTGTTTAATGCTTTAAAGTGGACATGGTTATCGATCATTTTACTTGTTAGTCACTTGTTAAGTTGAAGGATCTTTATGTGTGAGCAACATATTAACTGAAACCCTGCTGATAAAGACCATTTGAACCCAGTGCCTTTTGATTACGTAACAACTTGTTTCAACAGATGCTCCATCAGATGGGGGAAGCAGGTATTGGTCAACGTTCTGGCTCCTAAATTTGTCAACAACCTCACTCATTCTGCTCCATTCAAACTTGAGGTTTTTTTTTTTGCCTTAAACACTTTTAATGACTTGTGGTTCAGTGTGTTATTTAAGACAACTAAGACCAAGTTATTTACAGCCAGTTAAATATACTTTATTGACACCAAACTTGATAAACATTTCACTTATATCATTACAATAATGTACAATTTTGGTTATATATTGAACATGAATACAGTATTTCTCAAATTCACTTGAAAACATTCCACATGTTATGTCATTACTCAGCATAGAAAGGTTGCTTACAGTAAATAGGTCCAGGAGTCCAGTGTTGCCAAAACTCATTGGTTCAGATGATCTCTGTAAAAAAAGCAAAAACAAAGAAAGCTTTTATTCTGTTGATTTTCAAACGATTTTGTTGAAAAAAAAAATCACAAGCTTCATTCCTTTTGACCGGATGACATGAAGATGTGAAAACTGTTGCTTTTATAACTAATCCCACTAAGTCAGATTGTATTTTAACAGAGATGCTTTGGTGTTTATGAACTGAGCTGATTTGCAAAAGTGCATCACTGTGCACCAGAACTGAATAAATATTTGCAAAAATGTTTAATCAAGGCGTCTCATTAACACCAATCAACTTTAAAAACAGTTTGTGAAGTTTATGTATGGTTCAGCTAGTATCACTTTAGCAGAAATGTTTGTTTTAAAGTTTAAAAGGAAGCTTTTTGTAATGTGTAAAAAAAAGTATAAACCAAAGAAATCAGTACCGTAGCTTAAATATTTTGTCTCAAAGCTTCTTTTTTTTTCATATTTCAGATTATAGATTTCAAATTTGCTACAAACACACTCATTTTACCCCATTGGTGCTTGTTGTATCAGGTTTCATTGATGTAGAAAATAGGCTTTACCTCCCTAATAGCTGATACTGTGGCAGTTCAGCCTGAATGTATTTCCTGTTGGCAGAGCCGAGTCTCTCATTGCAATTACAGTATGTATTGAACTTACATGATTCATGAAAGGCCTTTTAATTTCTGAATATTGAGAGGATTTTGTTAACTTAATAAGTGCATATTGCACTTTAACTAACACTGTGGAAGACCAGGGACAATAAACCACACACAGGTTTAAAGTAGTGAGAGCAACATCAGCACTAATTAACTTCATTGTTTAAGTAAATGTACAAGAAAAAAAATGAAGTCCCAGAAAAAACATGTCTTATTAGAATAAAATGTGTTCCTTTAATGTTTGAGTTAAATTATTTTACTTACCTAAGTTAATAAATGTCTCTTAAAAATATATGCAACATCAGAGTACCAGTAGTAAAGTAACAAAGTACAAATACCTCATTACTGCACTGAAGTAGAATTTTTGGGTATCTGTACTTTACTTAACTATTTTTCAGCCTACTTTTTACTTCGACTTCTTACATTTTCACACAATTATCTGTACTTTCTACTTCTTACATTTTTTAAAAGGCAAGAATTAGAAAGTCATTACTTTTATTTCATTTTTGCTTGTTTTCCTCCCAGCTGCTTATTGTAAAAAATAAATACTATTCATTTAAACTGTGCCTCCTAGATAGAGTGAATTTAAGTGTGGTTGAATGAGAAGTATAATAAAATACTGATACTGTATTATTTTGTACACAAACAAATCATGTCACACTCCAGCAGGACATAATCATTAAAAGGCCTGTACTTAAGTATTTGTTTTTCATGAATTATATTATTGCATTTGGCCGCAGCCCTCTGATAGATTTTCATTTTGGAGAAAAGGTTTGTGCAGCCTTAATATATGTATATAAACTGAAACAGCTGGACTAGTGCATCCTAAATTTAACACTATTTAAATATGAAAGTCATTTGTGCATTTTTCGGGGAGGTCACCTCCTAATAATTGTCCTTAGAGAAAATCTAACTGCTCATTTTAAATCAATCCTTTTACTTTTAATACTTAAGTACAAAAATACCAGATACTTTAAGACTTTTACTCAAGTAATATACAGGAGACTTCAACTTTTACCAAAGTCTTTTTTTTTTTTGGTAAGATACTTGTACTTTTACTTATCACTTTGTGGTACTTTATACAACACTGTGCAACATTATTAAACTGTTTGTAGTAAATGGTTGCAATGTCAGTTATCTAAATCACATCATTCTGTTTTAAAGATAAAAATTTAATAAACCATCAACACCTAAATACCTAATTTGTAATCATTCATCTCAAAAGAATTTAACAATTTGTTTGCTGTGAAACAGGGTTTTTTTGTTTTTTCATTAGCACTTGTCCTGACCTTTACTGGAGGATTTTTCTTCCACTTTTTAGACTAAACACACCTATTATTGTGACAAAATTGAACTGAAATATTCCATAACTGTAGATGGCAGCAGTTGCCTAATAAAAGCTTATGTAACATGACTTCATCCTGCAAGATAAATGTTGCTTTCTCAGCAAGCTAATCAGCTTTTGTTTTCAAAGACCTTATTTGCAATCATTTTTGTTCATCTGACTCTTAAATTGACCAAAGCAGAAGTGTATAAAATATATTAAGGAAAGGAAATGCTAACCTGAGCATTACATAAAAACACAAGTGCACCTTTTTTTGTGTGCGTGGATATGGTGTTTACAGAGAATACTCACCCCCGCTGCCACAGCCACCGACACAGACATGGCCGGCAGCTCTTGTTCATCTTACTCACCATGATGCTGTTTGTGTGCAGCAGTCACACACTGATACCAGCTCCATCCTGGGTACCAACTGACTGACTGTGGGAGACACAAAGAAGCTGCTCCGTGCTTCTCCAGAGGTCCTCCTCAACACAGATTACTAAATGTGTTTTTACTCTAGCAGCTAAAACTGATGGTAGCTGGATTTCAAAACTTTCCTTTCTGTGTCACGAAGCTTTAAAACATCTAACAGAACTTCAGTGAAAGTCGTCCGCTGTGTGGATCCCTTGCGAGTCGTCTCCATCCAGCAGCAGAGCTCAGATGGTGACAGGAAACAGCTTCACTCATCTCCTCTGACAGGATTCAGACGAGCACCAAGGCAGGGTGATGATAATATTCCTAGCTGAGGTCTGAGCCAAACCTCTTTTCCTGATACAAACATCAAGTCAAACCAGATTAGAACTGGTCGAAGGATAATAAAAGACCAAATCAGCCAAAACCAGTGCTTTCGCTGGGTCTCTTCTCTTCAGCGTGACAGTGAACTGCAGATCTATGGGAATTTCAGAGTTGTGTGGCCCACGACCTCCCAGGTGGAGTGTGTTCAACAATCAGCGCTGCGCCTCTCTTGCTTCCTATTCAGAAACTGGATCAACGCATGTGAACGCTTTAAGAAAACGGGACACAGGCATGCGGAGCTCCACCACTTTTCCTCCCAGCTTGCTTCACAGCGTGCGTCTGAAACCATTTCACTGCAAACAAAAGAGCAGGCAGAGGCTCCCCGGTCCTGATCAGGTGCGTGCGTGCCAGCAGGGACAGTCGAAGTGAATCAGAACCGGCCTGTAAGCAAACAGTGATCCTCACAGGAAACACAGGTCTCTCCTCACTGGAGCTAACTTGCAAATTGTCTCCCCTCTTGCGAGCAGAAACAACATTTCAAGTGACAACTCCTTTGAAACATAACAAAGGCATCGCAGCTCGTTTCCTTCAATTCATTTTTCCATCGAAGAAACACTTTCCCTTCAAATGAACAATTTATTGACAAACGGTCACATTAAGTGCCCAAATGCACTCGCAGTTACGTGAACAACTTCGCATGGGCACAACGGACTTTCCTTTCCCATGACATCAAAGCGTACATTGCGCAACTTTTCCACTTAAAACAGAAGTCATCACAGGTGCAGATGGGCTACACAACTTAAAAAGCTGCCCCGTTCAATGAGGACTCACAAACACTAGGTGCGCCTTTTCCTACAGAGGCTTGCAGCTCTGCACTCGTCTCCTCCGAAGTCCACAGTTTCAGCGATGTGACGTTCCCTTGTACATGTGTTTTCATTACATATTAAATCAAACTCAGCAAATTATAATGCATATAAGTTACTACTGCATGACAAATAGAAAATGTCTCAACAAAAATAAAGAAACCATGTTGGCAGGCTTAAGTGAGTTACTGTCAAATGTAAACTTCTAAAATTAAACTGGACATTTACTGGTAAAACACATCTAAAACCATAAAACTGCACAGAGCTAGCAAGTGCACAAACAACAGGTTTGTTACTCTGGACAATATGTTTTCCACTATCTTTAAATGTTCTTATAAATGTGAGACTTGCTAGTTCAAAGGAAATGAAAAGGACTCAAACATGAACACAAAACCCTCTAAAGTTTTGTTGCGGATTAGCGTTTCAGTTTTATATAGATCACAATGCAGAACCATTTCTAAAAGGATAAAGAGGTTCACAAAATTAAAAATAAAAACCAACTTTAAACGTTTAAGAAGTGTTAATATTTCCTGAACTACACTTTGCTCCTTGTTAAGAGACTGATTCCTATGCTAGAAATTTCAAATCTGTTAGTATTTAGCATTCCATACATTGAAGTCCACTATTTATAATGAAATGTGGCTTGCGGGTAAAAAGAACAACAAATTCAAACAACCTGAACATGAATCTGTCACTTACACTGTAATGAAAGTTAATGAAATGGAGGACCTGTTTTTAAAAAGAAAAAAATATTTTTTTCCTCCAATTTTAACCAAAGCAGAACACATACAATTTAATTTTTTTTCAGCAAATCACACTCCTTTCATAATTGCTGAGACATAAATAACAGATGGTAAATGTAACAGAAGTGTGGTCCACTGAAAAAGGGTTGTGTGGGTTTGACACCTCAAAAGTTCAACTTTTCCCCCCACACTAATGACATTATCTATCTTACTAAATAGCTTAAAATGTTCACCTTCATTGTTATGGTAACAGCTGACAAGGCTTTTAAATTGAAAACCTTCTGATGTGAACATACAATATAAAAAGTGTAACAACATCAGAGAAGGATGTAATACAGAACCAACAAGCATGACCTTTTAAGTTTGTCTTTTTTTTTTGGTGGGGGGGGGGGGGTTTTAAAGGGCTAATTCGGTTTTTTTTAAGGGGTGGGGATACAAAAAAGTTATTGACAATCATTAACCTGTTGTAGACAGATGTTTGAACAATAAGACTGGAGGAAGAAGTTAAACTCTGACAGGACTGAGTTAACAATGAGCAAAGTGAAAAAAAAAATCATTGATGAAGAAATTAATATTAAGCTCTATTTTCTACTGAAGTGATTAAAAAAAAACAATGAACAAAGTGGATTGATGTAAAATCATAGTGGTCCATGCAAACATTTAATTGTCTATTTAAATAATTTGTGGGTTTTGCAAGCGCAACGAGTGGCAGCAGCTGGCTGTAGCACTTCTGGTGCAGCCTGAGGAACTTGGAGCAGGAATAAAATATATCTAACACATTAATCGTGCAATGAAAAGCTGAGAACTAAGTAAATATTTGAAACAGTGTTTGCATAAACCATTATGACAAACATGAGAATGGAGTTGTTCAGATAGCAGCAACGCACTCGCACCCTGCTCAAACTAGCCGTTAGCTCGTCAGTCTGGTCGGAATTAAACAGTCCTAGTCCAGATTGAGATTGTTCAAAAACAATCTGTTTACAACAAGAGACAAAACTGTTATAACTTTTATCCACAGAACCCCATTAAAAAAAATCTGAACTATTAAACATTGTGAGAATTATGTAATTTTGACACAGGTAGGAAGTGCTTTGTACTGGATGTGTTATGTAAAAGTTTTGAAAGTCTCACCTTTGACCTTAATTGGGAAATGTAACATTTTAAAGTTATAAATACAGTTAAATCGGCTCAAAAAACTGAATTTAAACTAATGACTCTGAGCTAAAAAAAATATTTTTACAGAAGGTTAAATTACAGGTTTGTAACTGTAATTTAACCCGTTCACCTACTAAAAGAGTAATGTTTAAAAAATAATAACTCAACCTTTTCAGTTCGACAGGAGTGTTGTTTCTTTCTTTAGTGGATTTTGTGGCGACATACAAACACTCACATCATACTACTGTACCCCAAGATGCAGAACACACAGCATGCAATATTTACTGACATACAGTAGATTTTTTTTATTCCACTCGATCTTAATGCATGTTTTTTTTTGTTTTGTTTTTTTTCTTATGATGCACCACGAACCACAATCATGACCAGATAGTCATCTTTGCTTTTTGCCAGAGCTTTAGCAGAGGAATCCAAAAACTGCTGGGAGAAATCACAGGGGGGGAACGCATGAAGAACCCCCGTGTTGTCTTTATCTCTGCTCCCTCCCACAGGCAGGCTGATGACTCCGGCTGCTTGTTTTTGATTGAGGTAGGAGACCAGGTTGCGTAGCGGCCGCTGGGTTGAGGCTGCAGAGTCAGAAGACGACGTGTCCTCGGTGCTTCCAGGAACTGCTAGCAGGACGGCGTAGCCGCTGGGGCCCGCCACCTTGATACGCCGGGACACTTCATCCAGCTTGGGCTGGTCCAGACGGAGGCGCTGCGTGATCTTCAGCTCGCTCACCTGCCTTCCCGTGGTGCTGTCGACGAGCAGGTCGTTGGCTACGTTGTGGTCGCCCTCCAACAGGTGCATGTTGGCCGGGAAGTTGCTGTTCTTCAGGAGCAGCATGCCATGCCAAGCTAAACTGAGTCTGGTTCCGTCCGACTTGGTTGCCTGACCGCTCTTGGAATTGCTTTCAGAGCGTTCTCTCTTAGCGGGTCCTTTGCCACCGTCGCCTAATTTTCGTTTGCGCTCTCCACCAGCTGAAACGGTGCTACTTGGTCCTTTTTCTGAGAGACTTTGACTTTTGAGCCTCCTCTCAGCCAGCCCCTTTTCCAAACTGCTGTGTCGTTCTCTGGCTGGGGAGGCTCTCTCGCCCCGCACCGGGCGCTCTGTATCACTGAAGCGCCCACCGTCTCTGCTGCTGCCTCCGGGACTGCCGTCTGGAGACGCCCGTCTCCGTCGTACTGTCCTCTCAGTGCTGTCAGGCGAGAGGTCCAGGTGACGCCCGTCCTCCATTACGCGCCGTTTGCGTGCTGGTTCACGTCCCTGAACCTCTCGCTCCAAAGACCAAGGCTCCCGAGTTCGCCGCTCCCGGTCCAAATGCTCCAGGGGCTCGAAGGGTGAGGCCCGGACTCGTTCACGGATGGCTGGGTTCGGCCACTCTGTTCCAGGAAAGAGCTCTCTGTCTCTGAAGTGAAGCGGAGGTGGAGTCCGATCTCTGACTCGAAGTGGTTCAGGCGTTGCGCGGTGGACAAAGGTCTCTGCCACCATGTCAAACGGCAGTATGGGCAGAGGCTGCAGGAACTGCTGCTGGTAATGATGCTCAGTGTCTGCGAAGTCTACTCTGAGTCGTCTCTCTGGTCCACCTAGTGGGAAGCCCCTCATATGTGTCCAAGCTGCTTGTGCAGCATCTAAACTTTCATACTGAATATAAGCCCAATTGTCCCCTTTTCTGTAGTCTATGGTCCTGATGGTGCCAAAGCGATCAAACTCTCTGGCTAAGGCAGCTAAAGGAACCCAGGGCCCCAGACCGCCCACCCATAAACGTGTAGTGGGCATGGCTTTTCCATAACCTATCTTTATGGAGTTGCGGCCCACTGTTTTGCCAGACATGCTAAGTTTGGCACGATGAGCCATGTCGAGGTTCTCAAATTTCAGAAACCCATAAGTGCTGGTTTGTCCTCGTGTGGGTCTCTTAATGTCCACTTCTGTGATGACCCCAAACCTGTCAAAGAGCCTCCTCAGGTCTACTTCTGTAACACTTGTGTCCAGGTTGCCTAAAAACAACGTCCTGTTGGCTCTTTGGTCATCTTCTTGAGATATGAAATCCTCTTCCCGAAAAGCAGCACGCTCTGCAATAAAAGCTGGACGAGCCCTGGCTTCAAACAGGGCGAACTCCCTGTCCCGCTCCAGCTCTCTGGGCAGAGGGGGTGGCGGGGGAGGGGGCAGCCGACCCAGCGCCAGCTGCTGCAGCCGGTAGTCCCTGTATCCGAGCCCGGTGGGGGAGAGGGGTCTCTGCAAGTGTCTGTGACTCGGAGCTGCTCCGTACAAGTCCCTCTCCACGGGGGAGCGGCTTCTCCTCCGGTTTATGTAGACCGCCTCGATCTTCAGCGGCCGGTCGTACAGCACAAGCCGGCCTCTGGCGTGTTTGGCGGCCCTGGCGTCCTCCGGCTTCCTGAAGTTTACAAACGCTACTCGCTCGTCGTTGCTGCGGCTTATTTTGACGCTGACGTCGCCGAATTTTTTAAACTCGTGAAAAAGTCCGTCCTCTACGTCCTCGTCGCTTAGCTGAGTGCCGAGGTCGCTGATTTTAAGTGTTTTGTACTCACTCTCGGCGCTGGGAGGCTGAATTCGCTGCTCCACCCGTGAAGCGGACCTCGGTGAAGATGAGTCCAGTGTCAGGCTCAGGCTGTGGTTTTTACCCACAGCAGAGGGGAGACAGCCATGGTTATTTCCAGTCCGGCTGTGACCGTCAAAGTCTCTGTCTCTTTTGTCACCAAGCAGACTCCGTCTCGTAGAGCCTCCGTCGCTTTTGGTCGAACTGTTTCCATTATTACTCCCACTGGAAACCGACAGAGCCCCCATTTTCTTACTGGTCGGGTGGCATCCTCCCCTGTCTCGAATATCGTCCAAGGCCCGGGAACGTTTTTTAATCGGCGACCGCTCTTTACCTTTCATTTCAGCCCTGGAGGAGTCGAACCTCGTGGTACTTGGACTATTTGTTTGTAGTGTTTTCTGCAAATGAGTGCAGAAATATTCTGAAATGACTAACAGATTTATTCACTGGCGCTGCGCTGAAACAACAACAGTCGCCATTTTGTTAAGATTAGCGTGAAGTCCCGCCCCCTGTGTTGTGATTGGCTGGAAAGTGGGTGGAAACATTTGCTAAGCTTGTCAATCATTCACAGAGCCCTTAAAAATGAAGACAAAAAGCTGGTCAGCCTTTTGATCATTTTACTAAATAAATTAGAAATTCTGACAAAGTTAAAAAAAACAACAACATCTGTCATTGACTTAACACTGATTTGTTGTCACAATAGTTTTAAATAAATTATGGAATTTAAAGTTTGTTATGTTTGATGTTTGATTTTTGTACAACCACAGTCAGATAATGACAATGACATATGGTGATATTTTATTTTACTTTTATAAAAAAAACTAAAATTTGTCAGTAGTGGAAACTTGTCAAGAGAAGAAACAATAGGCTATTTTACAAAAAAGAGAGGAAAAGTAACACCTAGTCTTTATTTACACCTAATAACCACAAGATGGCAGCATTTGAGCAAAAGTACATAGACTGAAATATATAACCTTGCAAACGTATAATTTCCAATTCAGCAAGGTCATAAAGAAATGACCATGGAGGCCTTTTTCTGTTTTTAAGGTCAACGCAACTGTCCAGTACATGTTTTAATTAGACCTAGAACACATTTTGGGTCAATATGGTGCCATTTGTTGACGTCAATTACTTAAAAAAAAACTGTAAAAAGGTTTATTGAACCTTCCAGTAGTAGGCAATGGGAAATTTAGATAGGTGCCAGACCACTTTATATTTGCACATCAAATTCACACAAGATGCTGACCACTAAATCAAACCTCTTGTATTTTAATATGTTACCATTTTAATTATTTTTCACATGTATAAGCAGGAAACCCGATTTATTGTTGTATTTCTATGAGAATAAAATAATATTAAAGACTATTAAGAATTTTTTAATTAGCCTTATAAAGAGTAACTAAACCCAAAAACTTTTTTTTTGCAAATAAACTGTCTAAATTCTGCCTTAACGGTATTATCTTTATTTTTCTGTGCAAATGTTGGCATTTTTGTGTAAATTTGTTTAATTCTGCGATATTTTGTCGAAAACCATCTTATTGCTGCCTTCGAAAGGTTGGCTACTGCAGTTGAATTTTCCCATTGGTTAAGATGGTAGGACCCTACATGCTTACTGTATGTTACTCGGTACATATTTATATCACACCCCTGCAGTGGATCAGGAGTTGCTGCTAACAACATGTTAACCCTCAGAAACTGGATCCATTCTGTCCTTCATTACCTCAGCAGCACCTTGAACCAGCAGCTCAGTCCAGTAAGGCTCACACCTGCTGGACTCCTCGCCTCCGTCAACCTCCAGTGACAAGGGGGAGATGAAAAAAAAACGGTCATTCTGTTTGTTTTGTGATAGAAAGCAGACAGGCATCGAGCTGCACTTCAGATTTTTTTTTTCTGTTCTACAGCTCTTTTCAGTGGTGGGCAGCACTAATCTAAATATTAGTTGCACTAACCCTAAAGCACTAACTCAAATATTTAGGTCCCCTAATTCTAAAGCATTAACACACTGAAAATTTTTAGCAAAAGCTAATTCTAAAGCACTAATATAACCCAGATGATACATGGAACTTTCTTCAACATAAGACAGTATTTACTGTGTGCAGAATGTTGTCACTTAGTGCCCTTTATGAGCCAAATAGGAGTCACCCGCAGGCCACATTTGGCCCGTGGGCCTTGAGTTTGGCACACATGACCTTGTAGATAAGTGTGAACATATGAACAAAATGTGTGACAGCTTTCATCCTCAGCTGTGAACAATGTTGTTGATCAATAACCTTTAAAGACCTCAGTTAGTGCTTCTAAATTTAGCCCAAAAATATGGCAAGTGCTAATCCGCTAATGATTTTAAAAAAAAAAAACAGCAAAAGCCCTAAAGCACTAATCAGGAAATTAGTTCCCCTATTAGTACTTTAGTGCTTTAGGGGAACTATGCCCACCACTGGCTCTTTTCTTCCCTCTGCTTGCTTCATTTCTGAATGCATAGATGTGTGAGGAACAGTACAGCTTCTCCGGTGAAACACAGAGAGTAACCAGAGCGATGCAGATATAGCTCCGGTGGAAGACACACACACACACACACACACACACACACACACACACACACACACACACACACACA